CTGCATATCGAGCAGATAAAAGGTGGGATAAGTTCCATAATCGTGATTTGCCTCTTACGCGTTTTTAATCCTGCCATTTCATACTGGAAAACCCACGTATAGACGTAAAATTCTTAAAACGATTTATTAAGTCTGTCGAAATGATAATAGCATATTTCATGACTGTCAGCAACAGCTTTCTTACGTGTATCTTGATCCTAAATACAGATTTCAGTTTTATTAATTTCCACGATAATCTGCGAGGTAAATTACATCGATATCTTACGAACATAGTATAGCTTCGATGTTCGAAATGCTTGAACTGTATGTTAGGCATCCACCGATAATATTCACCAATAACAGAAATACCAAAACAGATACTCTCTATCATCGAAAGTTTATAGAAGATATTAAAAATTAATTCAGCTTTGAAATCACCTATGTTTACACCATATTATATCCCTCTTCGAACCAAACAATGCTCGTAATAACATTTCTCTAATATCTTCAGTTCCTTTTTAAGATATTTCAGAAAATCCAGATAAAACACCTACTCTGTATATCTAAATAGAGTCTGCATAGATGATGATAATAATTAAAGTAACATACTGAAGATAAATAGGTATATACAATGAAATATCTATCCCAACAATAATCAAAGTCGATCTCATCAAAACTAGCTACATATCTTAACTCCAAAAACAACAATTCTCCAAGGTATCATTTTAACCAGCAAAAGTGCGTTATTGATGCGTCACACGATATAGTAATGTGTACCACGACATACCGAGAGCATAAAATTGGTGAGGCGTTGAAGTTCAAATGGCTCTAGAGCCGAAACAGCAATTTCAGACATACAGAGGGAGATAAGGAGCTTCAACCTCGTTAAGGACTGTACGATATCAACTCATTGTCAGAATTGTTTCTTCCTTCATAGTATATATGTGTGTACATATATATCTCAAACAATTTTTTACAACATACAACATGGAAAACTGGTTGCAGAAATGCGTATTTCCTACTTATACCATACACGTTAGGTATGTACATGCTATAAAGAAATTTTAGATAATATTTTCCAAATGACTTTTATAATATGGAAATTCCAGATGTCGTCCAAGTTGATACCTTAATTTATGATCTTGCTAGATCTTAATTAGAGATCTAATTAAAACTCTAATTAGGAAGTAATGAAACTATTTCATTTTGAAATAGTCATTTTTAAATAGTGAAAACCAATGAAACAGAACAGCTTGGACCTTGTTAAGAAAGGTGTTTTACATCGCATCAAAGAACCTATTTTCTCTTTTCAAATGCATTTATATAGCTTTCTCGCAGATCTCGTGATTGTTCATGAAAGTAAGCTTGGATTTATAACTATCCCCTTACAAATCCACCAAAATTTTTCTTCGTCGTTTATTATCGTGATTTTACTATCATCACGTTTTCTAGACATTTCCAAGAATGACGAAAATAAATAGCATAGCCTGACTGCAATCAGATGGATATCGCTCTTAGATCGAGTATCTTCGTTCATTTGTATCATGACATTTCCGTTACGATATGAATATTTCGATGAGATATATTTTTGTCGGGAAAAATAAGGTTGCGAAGAGTTAATATATCGGATGACTATATCGCCGTGTACACCGTGAAAAGCAATGCTGAACTCCGTTGGCTAACAGTCTAAAACGAAGACGCTACAGAGTCATGTCGCACTTTAAAAATCAATATTAATCAATACGATGCAGCACGGTTTATATACCATGTTCAGGATAGGAAGTGATTCACCGGGTGCACGTTCCTCCTATTTATACGGTCGGCAAAAACCGTACTATAATTAAATGCAAACGAGTTGATTTTCGTTGTAGGAGTAGGTTATATGTCTAATGAATGCGACAATGAAACGATTCTATTAATGAGATACACTTGACAATTCGGAATGAGACCAGAACAGAGGAAACTTCCGGGGTTGCGAAATTTCGATTATTGCGTTGAAAACGATCGAGTATGGCAATTACACTAGATCGAATCGTAATCGATAAAATTGAACGAGACAGGAGCAGAGGAAACTTAGGTTTGTTACATGACATTTGCTTATTTGGAATTTCTATATGTAGCTAATGGAAGGTATACAAATTAGGAAAGATTACTTAATTAAATAACAAATATAATTGCGATATAAACTCGATAATGGAGAAATAGAGCACTGAGAGTTTCCGAGTTTACTAAATAATTTTTAAGATAAATATTTCGATTGTCAGGAAATAGAGTGAAATTTCAATTGATAATAATTGGAGTATGTACTTAAAACGACGAAGATTTCCAAATTTATTACATAATTCTTGTGATCAAATTTTATTATTTTAATTACTATCCAATAAAGTATACATAATCTAGACTATAGAGCAATTGTAAATTAATATTTTTAATCTTCGACAATAAATTATTTCGGAGTTTCTGAAGTAATTAATAGAGTAATGATTATATTCTACATGTATCTTTCACGACAATTAGAATTTTAATAAGTGAGTAACTCCAATACAGAAAAATTGAAAAAAAAAGATGGAAACGAAGGAAAATACTTGGGTAAATATTTCATTCGAGTACTTTTATCAAGTGAGCAAACACGTATCACGATTTCAATGATTAATCAATTTAGAGACTATGTACTTTGAATAATATTCAATGCTAACGTGATAATGACGAGCACGGTAGTGTTAACAGTAAACTCGCTGCACATCTCTAAATATTTCAATCATATCGGCATAGTAATGATATTTAGAGCAGAACTTAAACGTAATCCTCTCCTCGGGCAAGAACAAAGCCGATGTAAATTAAAATCAATATGATACATGGCAAAGACGGAATTATGGCATCACAAATACGTACGAATTGTCATTCGCTATATACGGTATTCTGTAATTTAAGAAAATTCTGATCAGTTTAAATAAACCTACTAATATTACATTACATCACTCTTTAGACAAGTGTTCTTTAAAAATTATTTTTCGATCTTAATTAAATCGCGAAAATTGTACAAAAGTACTAGAAAATTACTAGCTCGATTATTGATTAATCGCGTTACGATTTATTCGTTAAAAAATAATTGAATAGCGAATACGACATTTAGATGATATTTTCGATAATATTCTCAGAGAATGTGCAAAATAAATTTCTAAAATTATTTGCAAATTTTTGAACTAATATAACTACAGATACGAGAATACAAGATACATTTGTACATATATTTGTACAAGATATATCGCTAAATTATTCTCATCATAATTTTAAATAACTCGCGTATGAAATAATTTGACTCGGTTAAAGACGTAATTTTACATTTTACAAGACGTACATTTACAAATATAACTAAAATTTTCTATTGAAATGTTCTAAAAAAAAAAGTGTGTAGAATTCACTTTGTGTAAATTAATATCCCAAACTACATTGAATCAATTTTTCACGTTTTAAACGTTTTAAAACGTTTTACAATTACAAGAAGGATTTACACGGAATATTGCATAGGTACAATAATAATTATTTTAACACGAATAAAGATGAATAAGGATTTTCAATCACGAGAAATATTCCCGTTATATATTTCACTCACTTTACTTAAACGTGATAAATTGCAATTAAAATATGCTAGAGGCAAAGAACTAGGCTTGCTCGGTATACTTAAAGCTAACTAATGAACTCGCACAGATTTTTACGATCCGCTACTCAACCGATCATTTCTTGGGAGTTACGTAATTGGCTGTACACTATAACTTTGCGACAAAATTGCTAGGTCGATTCAGTGTATTAAGCGTTACTAAAATCAATAACGCGCCATGCCACGTCGTCGTATGAATCGCCAACGAATCCCAACGCTATCGACAAAAGGTCACTGTCTCGCATGGTAGTTGCCCAAAAATGTCTATCCGGTCTGAAAATTTGAGTAAACGTTACTTTTTCACGGAGAAATAAGAAATTCGTTAACTTCTCTTCCCTGTGCCTCTGTATTCCCTTATATGCTGTACAAATTTCGATCCTACATGCTTCCGACATCTATTCATACGTATTGTGTAACAAACGAATAGAAACTACTGAAACTACTTCCTTCCGATAGTACAGAATAACGTATAAATCTTATCTGCATGATTTTCACAACGTTTTCTTTACTTTTCGATTCCACGGTCGAATATGGCTGATTTTATTATACCCGTATACGCACATTACTCGAATTTGATTTTTTCAAAATAGCAATATTACATGGTAATAACTCCGTCGACGTAATCATGTTATTCGACATAGAATGCCAATCATTTACCTTAGATCGACGTTTCAACATGATTTACGTTGTACAAGTGACTTTGATATGAGAAAAGATTCATGATGTGAAATTGGTTTTAGTAAGATGCCGATGTACATATTACGTACGTATATCCAAATGAATTATAAATATATTCATATATTAATAAATACAGAGGACAAATTGAAATGAAATAGAGACTTTTATCTGCTTCCGTCATATATGACCCTAACAACGATCTATGTATATTAAACGATGAACTACGAATTATTATTATTATTATTATTACTATAGAACGAATATAATAAACGAATATTAAAATTTGTAAGCTATTTAAAATCGTATATGATAAAGATACAGAATATATATCACCGAGTATTTTTAAAAACCAAAAGTAATGCTTTTTTTTGATCGTTTAAATGATATTATTTCAACGACAATAAAATTATAGCAATAAAACTAGTAGCGATTACTTAACAAGTATTGAAAAAAAAAACTGAAATCTTATGGATAACCTTTCCACAACGTTTTCTTTAATATGTTGAACAAAATGTGTTCCGGAAGATTATCAGAAAAGTATGTTGAGAGAAGTAAAAGAAGCACATGTCGTGCTATTTCACATCATTGTACGTCACATGGATAATTCGCATCTAATAAATACATAACACAATTCGCAAGGTAACGTCATCGTACAGGACATAAGTACGATCTTACAAGAACTTACCTTCATATTGTTCTCGACGATATACCCGATCGAACATAGTTGATAAACGACGTAAGCACGAATCAGTTCTTTCAGGGTTTTACTCTTAAAAGCCGCAATTGGATCGTTAAAGTTCAAATCCAAAGGATCAATCTGTCGTACAGCCGGCTTCCCATCAGCAGTTGTGCTGGTGTATTCACGTTCGTGCACCTGCACCAACTGCACCAATGGCTTCGTTACGTTCTCGAGAAACCCGACAGGAAGTGGTAGATACTTCCTTAGCTTTTTAGCGGCACTGCAACGCGGCACCGTTCTCAAAAACGCCATACCTTGCCGTCGCGTGTTTAATGTAAGAAATGTCAGCAATGGGACGCTTTATTTAGAGAAATAAATCGCAACCCGCCTAACGCTGTAATCTTTTTTCTTTCGAGTTTCACTGAAAAAAAACGAACAAGCAGAAATACGTAAATGTTTCAATCTAAAACGTAAATTGGGCAAGCCGATTTTCTCTGTGACAAACGGGGTAAATCCAACCTGCCACGATCGAGTCAGAGACCCCAATACCAATAGAGGTATCTCGTCGAAGCTTAGGCCGAATCACAAGGTGGGGTACTCGTAGACATCCAGCGACGTACGAGTCAAGCGCTTACCTTCCGACAATACTGTTTATAATATGAAATCTATGCAAAAGACTCGTTTAAAAGAGACTTTAAAAAGCGTATAAATTTTTCAAAAGGAATTCTTTTTTAATTTGTTACAAATATAACGTGGCTAAGTGAATTTCAATTGTTGTACGTTGCCCCAATTACCACACTGTAACAATAGATGCTAGTGCTCTGATTGGTTCGTTGCAGAGGTGTGTTGGGATCGTTGAATATGACTGGTCGGTTAAAATTTGGGAAATGCCAATAACTGCGCTGATGTGTAACGCGCATAGTGGCGCAAAACATGTTTCACATTAGCATGAACTGTAAAACAAAATTTTATTTAAATAGTTATCACGTATATTCTAATAGTCTATTATTTAAATTATGAACAACATAAAAAATAATACTTTGTAAGTACTTTCAATTTTTATTTGTATTACGATATTTTACTCGTATTACGATAACCTTTCTTAAAAATGTGTTACGTAAATAGTTAGTTGCTTTACAATATGGATAATATACTTAAAAATGAATAAATATTTATTCAATGATTTTTCCTATTCGTACAATGTTACAATGCAAAAATACGTTTGATTAATATTTTCATATATTTTTAAACAAAAATACACACCAAGACTAAATTAATTAATAAATATATCACAGGAATATTTTGGAATAAAAACAAATTGAAAAAATATATAATATGAAAAGCAGAAAAATATAATTAATTGGTAACTGTTCTACATTTGTCATTTTAATTCAATTTTTTCAACTTGACATTATATAAAAATGTATAAAATATATACTAGAATCTATATAATATCATACATAGTGACATATTGAAATATATTTTTACTTATATATAATAACTAATTAGTGATATTCTTTACATAATAAATTACACAATGCATAAAAGCGTATTATTTTCCTGATAATACTAAATCTCAATTATGTTTTATATTATTAATTACATGCACATATTTCGTTATTATGTTGATGCTTCACATACAATGTTAAATAGCCAATCAGAATGCTTCGTTCAAATGACAAATAGCTCAAATAATAAAAATAATGTTTATAACAACTCCTTTGCTAATTAACTTTTTCCTTTTCAATGTAATAAATTTGTTAAATCATTTTGTCATAAGTGCTATACTAAACATTTTATCTTTATTGTTATTCTTATCAATACATTGTCACGTGTATATAGTTCTTTTTCTTAAACTACATTTTTATCAGAGAAAATATAATTTAATCGTTTAAAGTTCGTATGAAACCATATATTTTAATTTATCGTATCTAGGAAATTATGTAGTTCGTATATGAGTAATAAAAAGATCAATATTTAATGTTTTAAATATATTATTCATTGATATTATCACGAACGTATTTATCAATGGAATTCAGATTTTATAGCAGTTGCAAATAAATGTATAAAAATAAAATTACTGTTATTGACGTTATTCCTGCTCAAAATTACATAAAAAATATTAATTAACCGTATTGAAAATTAATGTAAAGATATATTATTTGAACTAGCTTCCTTGATTTTAATATTATTCCTACTATCTTCTCATCTTTACCACACATATGTGGAATCAATTAAAGTTCTAACCTCAAATTGTCAACTCAAAAATTTGTGTAAAAAAACAAATCATAATATAAGCTAAGGAAGTAGTAAAGGTAGACAAATTTTTACTTAAAAAATTAATATCATTTTCTTGATTGACAATAATCATTAATTTTACTCATGTACATTATATAGATAATGTTTATAAGAACCGCAAAGTGTTAATCAAAATGATATTTGTGATAAAATATTTTTAATATGTATCATTTATACTATTATGATTAATTTGATGTTGGTATAATGGTATCGTATACAACGAGACAACATTGTCATATACCTAAAAAATCATTTATTTTACGAAATTAAAACAATGAATAATTCGATAAAATTAATTATATACAGAGACAGAACAATTTTCGACAGCATTATTGTCACACCTTATTGTGTAATTAAATATGAACAAAAAATAAGAGAAACTAAAGGTACACATCAAACAAATATTAATGTAAATAGAGACAATGAAAGTAATGTGATACAAACAAATACGATTTCTTTAAACAAAAAGGGATTCAATGCCTATGTTGTATCAGCGTATGTTACATTATTAACAAATTCACAAGTATATCGGGAAGCTGCACTTAAAAAGTTATTACAATATGTAGCATATAAATCTTCAAATAATTTAATTTCTGAAATGATCTTGATAAAATTACAAATGCCAAGAAAACAATTCTTAGATTATAAATGGTAAGATTTTAACTACTGATTTAATCATAATTTTGTTTATTAATGATAAATTAAACTACGAAACAAAATATGATCTTTCTATTTCTAGGAATGAAAGAATAACACAAATGGTAATGGAAAGGAGAGAAGTTGATCATATTATGTCTTGGTTATCTACTTTAGGTGGAGCATTTTCTGCTTTAGGAGAAGAATTTCAACACTGTGTAAATTTTGTTTATTTATTGATAAATCTATAACATATATTAAGAAATAATAGATTGCATTTGATTATCGTACATTTAATATTTTAAATAAGTTAGGAAATAATGTGTAATTTATATTAAACATAATATTTTTTTGTACAGGCAGAAATGGCTGGAAAAATTTCTATAAAACAATTTGAATTAGCGCTTCGTCTCAGAGATCCTCTTTTAGTTGCTCGTTGCAAACTATATACTGCCTTAAGTTTAATTCAACAAGGCCAGTTAAAAATGCCAATAAAGATAGTAAGGTGTATTTATAAACTTTCTATCAGTCAAAATGACATTCGTTTGCAAAACATGTGTCAAGGAATATGGACAAAACTTAAATATTGTTACAAGGTACAAAAAAAATCTATTTAGTATTAGGTATAAAGCTATTTAGTATTAGTTACATCACATTTTTGAACATAGTTTAAAATTGAGTAAATTAAATTTGATATTTATGTTCGAAAATAAATAATATGTATAAAATATTATTTCCAAAGATTGATATTTTTTGTAAATAATTTAAATAAGGGTTAAAATATAATATTACCCTGTTAAATTAAAAGTAATGATTAAACATATACATTTCTAATATTTTTATTAATCTTAAAACAACTGCTAATTTTTTTCTTCAGTTTACAATCATATAAAATTGAAATATAACATGTAAATATGAATTTAAATGCTTAATTTTCTTGTCATTTTGACATACTTTAAATAAATTTCATAATTTTTTTCAAGTGTATATATTTGAAACATATCTAATAATATATTTTAATTTCTAATTTTTTTTGGTTTCTTTGTTTGCCGCGCGCGTGTGTGTCATGAAATATATATTAACTTAAATACTTAAATGTATGACATTTGAAATAGTAAAAATATAAAAACTAAAACAAAAATAATTATTGATAAGTAATATATCTAAACTATAAATTAAAAACGAAATTATACATATGATTACATTAAATTTTGAGAACTATGTTAAATATTCAGTTTTAATATTTCATTAATTATATTAATATATATTATATTACACCCAAAGTGGTGGTAGATAATCCAAATGTCATAATTCAACTTTCTAGTATTATTGCTTACTTATTGTTAATGAACTATAAAAGCATTGAAGTTGTAATTTACTGTGTTTTGTTGTACCAATGTGTTTAAAACTTTATTTGATGTTCAATTTTTAATGTTATATACACACTTTTGTTAACTAAAATATTTCATCTTGAAGTATTTTAAGCTTACATTACTATCAGAGAGCAAGTGTACCCATAGGATCCCATGCAGGTAAAGTAATAGGTTCTTGTTTAAATACATCCAAAATGTCAGCTGGTACTAACTTTTTATCAATTACTGCTTCAAAAACAAATTCAGAAAACCAATCGGCTGTTAATAACAGATATCCTTTTAATCCTTGATCATCTCCCCAAGAATTCTCTACTCGAAATTGTTTAATTTTACCTTGATTCTGAAATAGAAATGAATTATAATAATTTATAATACAGAGTGCCTTATCAACAAGCAGTTATCTAAATATCTCATTTATTTTTACTAATATTGAAAAATGTTTATGACATAATTTAAATGACTTAAAAAAAGATGAAAGAATTTCTTTTTAATTTTTCAAAGTTTTAATCAAAAATCACATTCTACCTATTGACACTATATTTTGTAAGATATTCTCAATATATCATAGAATTGATAAAGAAATTATCAATACATTTATATAAAAGTATCGATCAAATCTTATTAACTTACATCAATTGAAACAGCTGTAAGTGCCATTGCATGAACCATCATAGAATCTCCATAAAGTAATCTATCTGCTTTTGTAAGATTAACTTGAATATCAGTTCCAAACATTAATTCAAAGTCATATGCTTTCAAATCTTGTATGCCTTGTTTAGCTACTAATCGTTTGTTTACATCACATCCAAACCAAACAGGCTCACTTTGTTTTATACTTTCTGCACATAATTTCATTAACACTTCAACTGGTTGATTATTATATAGTGTAGGTCTCCCACCCAAAACGTTTCCTAGACAATCTATGGTATATAGTTTCCCATATGGATTAGATGGTCTTGGATCTGTCACTAAGCATACTTTGTCATTTACATTATAATAAGGTTTCACGTGTTTTTCATAAAATTCTAGTGGTGTAACAGGTCCAATACAATTATAATTCTTTGACTTGTCATAATATTCCCAAGTAATTGTTTTTGAAGGTATGCCTAAACAAATACCAATTATTCGATAGATTACAACCATTTGTTCCAGAATTTGAGCTTCCAATTCTTCATCTGTTGCATCACGAGATACTAAGCCTCTTAGAACTTTCGAATACTCTCTTAATTTACTTTTCAAAATAGTATTCATGCGTGAACTAGATTCGCAATTATATGACTCTGGGAAACAGACTTTAGGAATAAGACCATGTCTATTTACAAGATTAACAAACATATCCCATTGTCCTCCATCACAAGTAGGATCATGTAGTAAAAATGATACTAACCGACCTTCTACAGTTTCATTTCGTTTAGCAGTTTTTACAATATTGTGCAAAAAATAATTACATCGTTCAACCTGTATAATAAAAAATATAAAACATACATTTATAAATACTAAATACATATACATACCACAAAATATTATCTATGCGTAATATTAACCTTATCCCAAAAAAATAAATACGCTTGACTAAATTCAAATTCATCCAAATTGTATTGCTTCATAAAAGCACATCTTATAATGTTTAAAGTGGAAAATATCCAACACCGACCAGAACTCTTTTGATTTGTAATAGGTTTTCCTTCTGTTACAATCTTGTGAGTGAATACATGTTGTGTTTCTTGCAAAACTTTTCGTGAGACACATGCATCTAAGGGATTAGCCCTTGTGCATACATTTTGTGCCAAAACATTGCGTTTATCTTCATAAAACTTTGCACGTAATTCATCTAGAATTTCTTGTGTCAAAACACCTGCTGTTTAAAAATAAAATTAATATAGATAACCTGAATTATAAACTGTAACTATTTGTAAAATGGAAAAATTATGTCATAACAAAAATTAAAGATTTTGTATTTTATGTACATTCAATTTTTAAAAATAAATGTTTAATTTAAAGTTATTTAATTAGCATTAATATAGATAAATACTTTTTATAAAGTTGTTATAAATAATATATATAAGTTTGTATAGTTCTAATTTATATCATATAAAATTTTATTAAAAATGAAGAAACAAAATTATGTATCATATGTAATGTACCTAAAAAAAGTACAAACTGAAATTAATTATAAAATTAATATTAGAATAATATTGTATCAAACGCATTTAGTTGTATTACTAAACTATTAAATTTCAGATTAGGTATAAAATTATTAAAACTTTGATAAGTAATAATATCAAACAGAAATACATAATAAATATATTACATTGCATATTTTTTAATTAAAATGTAGCAAATGGTATTCTTAACTTAACAGAAAATATATATGTAAAAATATCTCGCCAAAAATATGTTTTTAGTTCGATTAAAATATTAAACATTCCAAAGGAATCTGAGCTATTTCTCAGAAAAGATATTATATGACTAATCATTTCGCTGAATAATTAAGGCGTTGCCACGAACTAATTAGCTTTACTTATTTTAGAAAATAAATATTTTATTAGCAGCAATGTAACAATAGTTAATAAGGATAGGGAGTGGCTAAGCTAAATATTTAACGAAATTTAATGTTTATTGTAATTTAGAATTTAATTTTTCTAAATTTGTACTGAATAAATATTATATCGGAAAAAATAGGAAAATTAAAAATATAAATATAAATAAAAACGCAACTTACAAGCAACCATCGTGATGTGTGAATTCTTCTTGCTTTAACTGCAATGGATTTAAGAGTTTCCACCAAGTAGTATGCGAAGTTTAGAAATCATGAAAGTATACTACTTTTGTGCATGCATTCCACTCGTTTGATAGACGAAACAAGAAAGATAATGTTATCTATGTGTTACATTAATTTATAAGCTTTAAAACAGATATAAATATTTACACAGAAATTCTATTTGCAAGTTTCTTTAAATAATTATATTGTAAACCAATCAAAAAGCGAATATTCATATTTAATGGAGAATGACTAAGGCTTTTACAATATAAAGATATATTTTATTATTAATGCGTAGTAATTTACGTTTTGTAAAATAGTAATTTAATAATGTTTTTTATAATAATAACGTAATTATAAAATGTAACTAGTATATTTTCATTCAATATATAAAAAAATATTATAATTATTACCTTAATTTATTCGAATACATTAACAATTTATGTACTTTTTAATCTTAATCTTATTGCTAGAAAAATAAATTTTTAAATGTCTCTTTTAAATAGCTTGTCATTTCTGAATTATTACATTTGTTACAAATAATTGACATTCGGTTTTTCGAAAATTTTAATTTCATTACAATTTTAATACAAATTATTGTTCAAATTAAATAATTCATTTCATTTCTCTTAGTTTTGAATAATCGCGATCATTTTTAATTAATTAAAAATCTTATTACATAAAATTGCAAAATTTCTTTTATAAGGAATTGCAATCAGATAATTATATATGCAAGTTATAAGTTTAATAGACAAAGTCTAACAATTTGATATTGATTTTGGATAGGTTCATAGTTATTTAAAAATTATATATGTTTTATTTTTGAAGTAATTACAGGATATAGGATAGATATATTTATACATTTATATTTTATTTGCAAACTTATAATTGATCTTATTTAAAATAACATATTAAAATAATACAGAAAACCTATTTGTCATAAATTTACTATATATCAAAAACTATTACAAAGCTTAAATTCTACTCATAGCATTTATAATCAAATATTACAACCAGCATAAGTATTACTATGTAAGTAAAAATCACATATATTATCAAGTTTATATTGTTCATCAATTTTTAGTATATCAAAATAATTATAATCACTTCCCATATGAGATTACATAGTTTGATTAAGAATTCATATTCACATTTGTTGGTGGTTTTTCTACTTTTGATTCCAAAGAAAATGGTGGAATTCTACAATCAAATGCATATCCATCTTCTCTTTCCATTCTGAATGTACCCCTAAAATAATATTATAATTTTATTACATAACAACACTTAACTGTATCATATGCATTATAATAAATAAGATTCAAGTCATATAACTAGTAATATGACCAGAAAAACAATGATTTCTTATAAAGAAAAAATTCGAAAATATAAAATAATATTTATTGATATAAGTCTTTTTTTCCAGAAAATTGAATTTGGAAATTGTTTGAGGTAAGCATGCATTTAAGTTCTGATTGTACAGAGCTCTTTCAAAGGTACACTTCTAATCATACATTATTAAAAAAGGTAACAAAAACAATAGTGGGAAAACAATTACTTTTCCAATATTGAAAAATAGATATCAACAGAAACCTTTATTTTTTAAAAGCTCTACAGAATCAAAATTTTTTTAAATGCACACAAACCTTAGAAGTATTCAATTTTCTCAAAGATAGGTCTTCATATCATATAATTTTACTTCAGATTTTCGATTTATTATTTTATCAAGAATTAATTTTTGCAGTACTTTCTCAGTTGTGCCACTCTTTGCAAGACATTCTGTCCAAATTAAAAAAGAAATTATGGTTTGTTAAATTCGAATAAGAAGATAAAGATCTATGTAATTTGAATATTTATAACATATTACAGGAACCAATATAATGTAATATCTATATAATATACAAAGACTAATTTTCATTTATAAATGCATAAATAGTCAATATTAATAAAAGTACATACCACATATGCCCACTTGCAGCTTGTAAACTAACGTGACTACTATATTGGAAAGCAGGTAACATTTTTGATAAGACAGGTTCTTGACCAACTACGCCTCGTCCTCGAACAGTTTCCAAGGTACCAGAGAGACTAAATATCCTCCAATGTCTTTCACGTAATTGTACACTCAAATCACCCAAATTTTCCAAACGAATACAATAACGCCACTATATATTTTATATAATAAGTGTAGAATCATATCTAACATTTACTTCAAGCCTAGCCAACTCACAACTTCCAACACTTTAAATGAATTTAAGAAATCAAATTATTTAAATGAAAAATATACATTTAGAGATATTAATTTAAAAGCCATGTGTAAATAGATTGGTATAACACTGGATTATTTTTATTTTCTAAATATTGTTTTATTCAATCTAAAAGCAATTAAAAAGAAATCTCTACAGATGAGCCACATATTAGATAATAATTAGAGTTGGCCAAACCTGATTTACATCTTACATTATATAGGGTGTTAATAAAGAAGCTTAAAATATATACAGTAGATGATACACTGTAAACTGAGTAAAAATTGATAACATAGTTTCAAAACTCTCTTATTTTTGACATATGAATAATTTTATACATTAAGAATGTTTTTCAGGCTATACTACGTAACATATGCTGAACATGTACTTACAGAATTATACAGTGTTAAAAAGATTTAATTTTTATTGAGCTATTTAACAAGCATTTCAGATTTATTAAAATATTTTTGAGTTAAACCACTATTAGTAAAGAATACACCGTATTTTTTAAGTATTTCATAAAAAGAAATTCAATTGATTTAAATCAAAAGAGAATTACACATAGTAAAATATGTCATCTATGACACAAAATCATTAATAATCAAAAACAGGTGATTTTTTAATTTAATTTAATTTAATTTTTAATTTTTTAATTTTTTTAAATACTTTATATGTTATAATACATACCCAATGAGCAGCTGTTGTTTGACTTCCTCTATAACCCATATAAAATGGTATAACAGTAACACGAACATTTTCAGTAGTTTCTTTATGTACATCTGATAATTCCAACCATGAATGATTCTTTTTTTGCCATGCTCTAAGGGTTTCTTGTGCAACAAAACATGGTTCTTGATTTGGATTATATACTAAGAATTTGTCAAAAAGTTCATGTTGCAGTGCAGTCTTTTCATTTGTAGTATAAGGTAAAACATCTTCATGAGCAACATAATCTAATCCTGGTACTGTATATAAGCTATGACTGCTTTCATGATTACTCAAAAATGTTACAGCTTCTGTTTGAGCACGCTACATATGTAAATATACAAGGAAGATTTATAATTTCTTTTCTTTTATATGTATAAAAGGATGTACTATTTTAAAAGAATAAAAGTCTAATTTTTAGAGTTTTGTATTTTTTTACAGTTTAGGATCTTAAAAATATCAAAATATAAAGCAAAGTAAGGTAATGTAATAAGCTAAAGTTTATAAAGATTTCAAGTTTTTCTTTATATGATAAAAGCTGATATAAAAGTGATCTTAGACTAATTCTAAGTAGTCTTAGCTAAAATATCTTTTTAATACATTATTATAATAGTTTTATAACACTTACTATAAAAGGATAATCTCTTTGGTCAATTAATACCTGATAAAATGTGTGAGTTCTACCTTTTACTTCTTTTCCTACACTATTATAGTGATCATTTGTATTTCTAAAATTAAATAGAACTTTTAAATAATTTATTAAATATTTATTTTGTATTTTATAAAATTACTTATTCAGTTAAAAACTTACCCTTCTCTTTTATTTGGTATATCTCTATCATAAACTCTTGCTGTCCAAGGAAATAATATAACACCACGATAACCAAATACTCTATGTAGAATTAATTGACCAGTTTCATATTTTCCTTGTAATTTTGGTGTTTCCAATTTTCCTACTTCTGCCAATCTGTAACATAAACTTGTTTAGTATATTCAACAGACCAATTTATTATTATAGTATATGATAAGTAATGACAATATAAAGTAACTTAGATTTTATATCTTTATTAATAAGTATTTAGAAATCTAAATTCTATTATTAGTTATTCACTAGAACATCTTTATTTCATATTTGTATTTTTGGATATTCAAGATTTTAAATGAATAAAAGTATCTTTAAAGAGAAAATCTGTATAATGTTAAAGAAAACATATTTATTAATTTAATTAGGAAGCTTCCTCTTTCATACATATATTTCAAAACAGCAAAATATATTCAGTATTCTCTTTTATTTAATTCATACATTTAATTTGTTATGAAGTTTACATTACCTAATATGTCTTACGTGATACAAACAAATTTTTTTCGGTGCCTTAAGGAAATAGCATTTTAATTTGCAAGTAACAAGATTTCGCGCAAGTTCCATACTTTCTTGACAAATATTTTTAATAAAATACAAATTTTTATTTAGATTGTGTTATACTGGATCGAAAACACATGATATCTTCTTGACATTTTGATAGTTTTTTACTACGTTACAACAACGAAGATCATGTGTTCTGTCTAGATATGCATTTAGAAAAAAGGCAGGTTCTCATGGCAATATTAAAGAAGTAGATTAAAATTTTTCATTCCAAAATTATAATGGTACACATACCCATTAATTTATCAAATTTAACTGAATTACTATATAATGATCTTTATTTATGTACAGTATTTAATTTGTTTATTTTCATTGGAAACATCTTTAACAATAATAAATCACTAAAGAATTTAAATTCAAAATATAAAATGTAATTGTAAAAGAGAACAATACATATTTCATTAATTATAAAGTTACATACAAATTGAATGTAATGAATATTTTTATAATGTTATAATATAAATAATTTTAATAGAAACAACTTTATTTTATATAAAAAAAATACCTTAATGTGTATATACATAATGTATAATTCCTTAAAATGACATAAATTTTTATCTATTATAGATAATATTTTAAGATTTTTCATAAGAATAGTCACATTTTTAACAATTGTGACAGATATATTTTTAATAATCTTACATTTCAATAGTAATTAATTTAATTTCAAATATTTATTTTTCTAGACTTTAATGCACTTAGGTATTTTGTGCTTATACAGTATACACGTGCCTGTGTTGCTGTAGGGAATTGTAAAACCGCAGTTATTTACTTATAGGAAAAGTGTTATTACTCCCATTATTATAAATAAAAAGTATATATGAAATATAAGAAAGTTTCATATTTATTTTTTCATGCTTGCTTAATAATTAATAAAGAAGACTGTTGAATACATTTTGTAAAATGAATTACACAATACAAAAATGCACTGCTTTAATATGTAGAAACAACATTAACTTTAATATTTGTAGAAAAATTAATGCTAATTTCATATCATATAACCCCGTATTACTAACACATGCATTTACAACAAAAATCAGTTTACGGTTATTTCATAACAATTTACCAAATACTAATAAAGCTCAATTTGAAAAAGATAAATTTATGTCAACATTATTTTCGGATAAAACTGAAAATAATCAGTCTGTTAGTCAATTAAAGAAAAGACTCAAGAAAAGAAAATCTTTATCTAACAATGAAGAAACTAATACTGTAAGTAATTACTATAATTTTCACAAAAATTATTGACAAATATTGGAAAAATGTGAAATTTAATAATAAAAAGGGTAAAATGCTTATGTTTAATTCAATTAAAAAATAATAAAAGGAATAATATAATAATTTCATATCAATCGTTATTACTTGATAATTTATAACCAAAACAAGAAAATATGAATTAATGTTCTGTTCTCTTATAGGCATATATTGTGAAAGCTATGTCCACTTCAGAAGAATATAACTTGGAAAATTTAATACAAGGTCTCATTGAACAAAAGTTATATATGCCTAGCAGTATAAATACATTAACTAGTTGTAAGTATATAAAAATTTCTGAATTTATTTATTTGATCTTCTATTAAACTTGTTTTTAATAAAACAAGGTTTATTAAAACAATTTAAAAAAAGACAAAATAAGTACTAATTATAAAATACATAATACGTATTACTTTTGTGTAATTTAGGTATTGAAATCTATTATTTTTAAGTTATTTTTAAATATTTAAATCTACTATAAAATTATTGTTTAATGATATAATATAAATGTACAATATAAAATAATAAAAAAAAGGAAGACAGGAATAAGAAACTTTTAATAGTAGAATAAGATTTGTAAGGAATGTCTACATCAAATCAAATAGAATGTTTAATGTAATAATAAAACAATAATTTTCAATGAAAGATTTTTATCTAAAATATTTGATGTATTTTTATCATAGTAAAATATATAAATATGTAATATAAATATATGTAGTATAGAATATAGAATATACTCATAAAAATAATCTTTGAGCAAATGTTTCATAGTATTAATAATAAAGTGAAAGATTTATTTATATACATCTAACAAGGGGAATGTCAAGACTGAATCTTGTTAATTTTATTGAAATTTGACAGACATAAAATAGACATAAAATTGTAACTATATATGGTCAACCAATTTCAAGAAAAATGAGTATAAAGCTTAAAGCTTATTTAAGATCTATGGTTTAAAAGATTTTTTTTAAACATCTGTATTAAAAAAGAATTAACTATGGAGTTAGTACCTTGTTTACCTTCATCTAAAAAAGAGATTGAAGAATTAATAGAGAAAGCAAAAGATTGGGCTCTTATGCATGGTCTGTGTATGAGATCAAAACAAGATTTTGAGAAAAATGTCCTACAATTTGCACCATTTATTCTGATGCCATCTCCATTTCCTAGGAAAGAATTTGAGAATGCTTGTCAAATTCAAGTAGTTTTAAATGTGCTTATACATAGGGTTGCCCAGGATTACAATTTTTTAAAAGAAACTTTAAAAGAAACAATTAAAGTAGATAATTTCACCAAAGAATTATTTGAAATTTGTAAAATTGTAAACATTGAAGGGGGATCAGCACAAAAAGTATCTCTTGCTATATTGCGATCAGACCTAATGTTGAATACAACTTGTTCATGTAAAAATATAAATAAAAAATGTCTTCCACATTGTTGTTGGAAACAAATTGAAATAAATACAATTGCATCTGGCTTTGGGTGGTTAGGACCTGTTTCAACTGAATTACATAAATTTGTATTAAAAGAACTTGGTTATCATAAAGAAATAAGAAATCTTCCTGAGAATAATGCGTTACAAATCATATGTTCAAGTATGGTTAAAGCATGGAAAATATATGGAAACCAACAGTATGTTTGTAACTAATTTTTTTGTTAACTTTAAAATTAATAGATTATAAACTATAAAAAAATATTTAATTAAACATATATTTAATACTCAATTTTTTGCAGAGCAGTAATCTTATTTGTTGTTGAAGATGTTACATATAATATATGTGATCAACGTTTCCATGAATTTGAAATTAGGAAACAAAATCCAAATATCAGAGTTATTCGTAGAAATTTAACACAATTAGCAGCTACTGTCAAATTGAGTTATAAAAAAGAATTGACAGTAGACCATTATATTGTAGCTGTAGTATATTACAGATGTGGATATGAACCTGGACAATATCATACACAAAATGAGTGGAAAGTAAGATTGTTAATAGAAAGATCATTGGCAATTAAGTGTCCTACTATACAATACCACTTAGCAGGAACTAAAAAAGTTCAACAGGCTCTTACAAAGCCAGGTGTAATTTGTAAATTTTTAAAAAATGAAGAAATATGTGCAGAAATCAAAGAAATATTCAGTGGTAAGCAAATTACTTTATTATATACAGTATTGGAACATAAATGAAACTATTATATTTTTTCATATAGAACTATATGCATTAGACTTTGATGAACATAGAGATGCTGCTGTAGAAATGGCAATTACAGATCCACATCATTTTGTACTAAAACCTCAATGGGAAGGAGGTTGCAATAATAAATATGGATCAAATATAAAATATTTCCTAGAATCTGTAAAAAATAAGCAAGAAAGAGTAGCTTGGATTCTTATGAACAAAATTTATCCTCCAATTCACAAGAGTTGTATGATTAGACCTGAAAGTAATATAAAAATAGAACTCCAAGAATTAGTTTCTGAATTAGGGATATTTGGTGTCATAATAGTCAATGAAAATAATATATTTGTTAATAAGCAAAATGGTCATATGTTACAGACAAAGTTGTCTACTGCTAATGAGGGTGGTGTTGTAACAGGACAGGGTGCATGTGACAGTCCATTTTTAACAGATTAAAAAGTAAATTTTTCTAATATTTTCGATAATATATGAAATAATATTATACATGGATTGAAGATCTATTTTACTACAAAAATACATTAAATAATTAAACATTATTATCTGAAATATATATATATTTCTCACAGATAAAAAATTTAAAAGGTTTAATTATTTTTATTTTTCTTTCTCTTTTTTTTAGTTTTATTTTTATATTGTCATTTTATATATATATTTATACTTTTGGAATAATATTTATTTTTTTAAATGAACATATTAGTTATAAATTTATCTAAGATAAGTTTTATATTTAATTTCTAATTTTATATAGTAATATTATTATTACATTTTATTTAAATAAATAATAATGGTAAATATCTATAATATTACATATACTATAACAAACTTGTGAAATATAGATAATGATACTATATGATAGTTGGTTTAATATAAAAAGCTAAACAAATGCTATTTTATTGTTTTTTATTTATATGATTCTTGTAGCTTTACCAGATGTTGTACATGCTGTAGCAAAGTATGAAATAAATTGTGAACCAAGAGAAATTTTCTTTTTTCGAAAAGGTACCATAGTAATGTGGAATATTTCTCAGCTTGAAAGTGAAAATATATTAGAATTTTTAAAAAAATATGAACAAAATCGTTACTTGGAATATCTTGTGCAATTGGAGAGTGAATCTATGTGTTATAGTTATGCAGACACTGGGTAATATTTTAAGAAATTAAAATTGTATTATCCTTATAATGTAATAACATTTATTGCATTTTTATTTATTCATAAAATATTTTACAGGAAAAAAAATCATATAAAAAATGGTACCATTATTTTAGCTTTAAATGCAACTAAGTTAGATAAGTATACATTTTCCAATGCAATGGCACAATCAGTTAAGTTAGGTGTATGGGAAGCATCTTTAGATGATTATATAAATTCTATAGAATTTGTTGCTGAAGATTTAAAAACTGGTAGAAAACTTAGAATGACTAAATCTGAAGTATTAAAAAAACAAGGAGAATTATTTGCATTGCGACATTCAATTAATTTAAGTTCAGATTTATTGGATACTCCAGACTTTTATTGGGAAAGGGAAGATATGGAACATCTTTATCAAGAAACTTGTTCATATTTTAATATTGCAAAACGTACAAGAGTAAGTTATAGAAAAATTATTGATTTGTCAATTTCATTTTGTATATAATGTAAACCTATATGCAGAGTATGTTGAAAATCATACTGAAACAAATAAAAAGTAATATCTTCCGCAAAAAGATTTATATTTTTTTTAATTGTTTTGAAAACTAAATATTACTTTTATATAAGATATTAGCTGTTTTCCAATATATTCTATTTAGTGTATGAAGTATAATATAGTACATAAAGTTCTCTATAATATTCTATATATTACAATTGATTCTATTTTGTAGGTCATAAATGAAAAATTAAATCATTGTGTGGAGCTTGTGGGAATTTTATCTACACATTTAAGTGATCGCCACCATATTCGTTTAGAGTGGATGATTATTATTCTCATTATGGTTGAAGTTATTTTTGAGATACTACATTACATTGATAAATATCTTTCATAATATAAGTAAAATAATGAATCTATTAATTTCGAAATGAACTAAATAACAATTGATGCTATTTGTAATGAATTTAATTATAAAGAGCTAAGTAAATATATTGAATAAAATATATTTTATTTATATTATATATTTATTACTAATTATTTTTTATACGAAACTAATTATTTTGTAATATTTTTTACTTTTTGTTTCTTTAATATTATACATATCTTCAATTATATTTTATTTCAGTATCTTTTATGAATGATTACATAAATTTCTAAATGTTGAATATCGCTAAAATTAGAATATTATTTAGATTAAGTAATATGTAATTATGAAAAGAAACATATTAAAAGATGAGCTTCAAAAAAAGAAAAATTTTAATAAAATACAAATTCTTCATTTAATAGAAAGCAAAAAGATAGTTTTGTTCAAATTTTAATTGAAATTAATAAAATTCAGATAGTGTCAGCAGCTACTAGGATATAATACTACTATATATTAATATATTAGTATACTAGTATATAACATGTCAATAATTGCAATAATTCCTTGAACAAGGAAGCACTTGTTTACTACTTAAATTTATAATTTTTTATTGTATTTATGATTATAATTGAAATTTAATTAAGTAAAATTCTTAAAAGATTATCAATGCGATTTTTTATTTATTAGTAATTATGAATGCAAGTTTAATTTCTTTCTTGATATTTTTCTTTACTGTTTAAATATAATAGTCTGTTCATATTTCTTATGAAATACATTTTTCATTTTGTATTTAAGGTAAATATTTTTATATAAAAAATTATTTTTTTTAAATTATTTAATAAACATAATATTAAATAATCATCTTTGTGTATGATTGTGCTGTACGTTTTGCGTATTCTACATGTGTACACAAAATTTAGTATTAGGAACGATAGTACTTTATTATTTGTAAATGTTATATATTATATATTAGAACAAAATTTCGGTTACAACTATTAGGGATATTTGGTGTCATAATAGTCAATGAAAATAATATATTTGTTAATAAGCAAAATGGTCATATGTTACAGACAAAGTTGTCTACTGCTAATGAGGGTGGTGTTGTAACAGGACAGGGTGCATGTGACAGTCCATTTTTAACAGATTAAAAAGTAAATTTTTCTAATATTTTCGATAATATATGAAATAATATTATACATGGATTGAAGATCTATTTTACTACAAAAATACATTAAATAATTAAACATTATTATCTGAAATATATATATATTTCTCACAGATAAAAAATTTAAAAGGTTTAATTATTTTTATTTTTCTTTCTCTTTTTTTTAGTTTTATTTTTATATTGTCATTTTATATATATATTTATACTTTTGGAATAATATTTATTTTTTTAAATGAACATATTAGTTATAAATTTATCTAAGATAAGTTTTATATTTAATTTCTAATTTTATATAGTAATATTATTATTACATTTTATTTAAATAAATAATAATGGTAAATATCTATAATATTACATATACTATAACAAACTTGTGAAATATAGATAATGATACTATATGATAGTTGGTTTAATATAAAAAGCTAAACAAATGCTATTTTATTGTTTTTTATTTATATGATTCTTGTAGCTTTACCAGATGTTGTACATGCTGTAGCAAAGTATGAAATAAATTGTGAACCAAGAGAAATTTTCTTTTTTCGAAAAGGTACCATAGTAATGTGGAATATTTCTCAGCTTGAAAGTGAAAATATATTAGAATTTTTAAAAAAATATGAACAAAATCGTTACTTGGAATATCTTGTGCAATTGGAGAGTGAATCTATGTGTTATAGTTATGCAGACACTGGGTAATATTTTAAGAAATTAAAATTGTATTATCCTTATAATGTAATAACATTTATTGCATTTTTATTTATTCATAAAATATTTTACAGGAAAAAAAATCATATAAAAAATGGTACCATTATTTTAGCTTTAAATGCAACTAAGTTAGATAAGTATACATTTTCCAATGCAATGGCACAATCAGTTAAGTTAGGTGTATGGGAAGCATCTTTAGATGATTATATAAATTCTATAGAATTTGTTGCTGAAGATTTAAAAACTGGTAGAAAACTTAGAATGACTAAATCTGAAGTATTAAAAAAACAAGGAGAATTATTTGCATTGCGACATTCAATTAATTTAAGTTCAGATTTATTGGATACTCCAGACTTTTATTGGGAAAGGGAAGATATGGAACATCTTTATCAAGAAACTTGTTCATATTTTAATATTGCAAAACGTACAAGAGTAAGTTATAGAAAAATTATTGATTTGTCAATTTCATTTTGTATATAATGTAAACCTATATGCAGAGTATGTTGAAAATCATACTGAAACAAATAAAAAGTAATATCTTCCGCAAAAAGATTTATATTTTTTTTAATTGTTTTGAAAACTAAATATTACTTTTATATAAGATATTAGCTGTTTTCCAATATATTCTATTTAGTGTATGAAGTATAATATAGTACATAAAGTTCTCTATAATATTCTATATATTACAATTGATTCTATTTTGTAGGTCATAAATGAAAAATTAAATCATTGTGTGGAGCTTGTGGGAATTTTATCTACACATTTAAGTGATCGCCACCATATTCGTTTAGAGTGGATGATTATTATTCTCATTATGGTTGAAGTTATTTTTGAGATACTACATTACATTGATAAATATCTTTCATAATATAAGTAAAATAATGAATCTATTAATTTCGAAATGAACTAAATAACAATTGATGCTATTTGTAATGAATTTAATTATAAAGAGCTAAGTAAATATATTGAATAAAATATATTTTATTTATATTATATATTTATTACTAATTATTTTTTATACGAAACTAATTATTTTGTAATATTTTTTACTTTTTGTTTCTTTAATATTATACATATCTTCAATTATATTTTATTTCAGTATCTTTTATGAATGATTACATAAATTTCTAAATGTTGAATATCGCTAAAATTAGAATATTATTTAGATTAAGTAATATGTAATTATGAAAAGAAACATATTAAAAGATGAGCTTCAAAAAAAGAAAAATTTTAATAAAATACAAATTCTTCATTTAATAGAAAGCAAAAAGATAGTTTTGTTCAAATTTTAATTGAAATTAATAAAATTCAGATAGTGTCAGCAGCTACTAGGATATAATACTACTATATATTAATATATTAGTATACTAGTATATAACATGTCAATAATTGCAATAATTCCTTGAACAAGGAAGCACTTGTTTACTACTTAAATTTATAATTTTTTATTGTATTTATGATTATAATTGAAATTTAATTAAGTAAAATTCTTAAAAGATTATCAATGCGATTTTTTATTTATTAGTAATTATGAATGCAAGTTTAATTTCTTTCTTGATATTTTTCTTTACTGTTTAAATATAATAGTCTGTTCATATTTCTTATGAAATACATTTTTCATTTTGTATTTAAGGTAAATATTTTTATATAAAAAATTATTTTTTTTAAATTATTTAATAAACATAATATTAAATAATCATCTTTGTGTATGATTGTGCTGTACGTTTTGCGTATTCTACATGTGTACACAAAATTTAGTATTAGGAACGATAGTACTTTATTATTTGTAAATGTTATATATTATATATTAGAACAAAATTTCGGTTACAACTACAAATATGATATTAGATATACATACGTACACACATATGCATGCGCAACCACACACACACACATATATATATATATATATATATATAGGGAAATGGATACTGAATGGGGGACCATTATACTTTTATATATCGCATTTCATTAATTATTTATAGGTCTTGTATTTAACTTAAAGATTTTATTTTCTTTTATCTTCTTTTCTGAAAATAGTTAAAAGTAATATAGATTTTAAAGGAATTTATTAACATTAGTAATAATTACATATTTTCTTACATTAATTAATTATATTCTATATGAATCAATATAACTTCAATTATATTAAATGGAACAATTAATTTTTTACATAATTGTAATTAATTTTTTCAAACGATGTGAAGTGAACAAAGTGTACTTTGGCACAATAAATACACGTAAATACAATAAGAAAAGGGAAACGACTAAAAACAATATATTTGCTGTTTTGTTTTTCATTCTTTTTGTTACAGAAGTAGGCGTTGTAGGTGTGTTTCTTAGATACATCCCTGTGAATCGCACGCATGACTTGCGCCCTTCTGCGCCTGTATCAAAAGCGAAACGGAGTTGCAGGCCGTTTCAGCGATAATAGCACCCACTTGTCGGCAAGCTGATACCGTGGTAAGTTCATTTCTGTGCTCATCTGTTTGTCCATGTAACAATAGTATCGTGAGAAGTACTAAAGATACTAACGTCATTGAATATTACGAATTTTGCAATCCTGTATAAATTATTCGGTTATTTACAATTATATCAATTTGAAGCGATTACCCATTTTCAAATTAAACATTATACGTTTAAACATATCTACGTAAGTATACATATGCATAATTTCAAATGCTTTTAGAGCGTTACAAAAATGAGATTCTATTCAGTTTCGATAATTTCCATTTAAATTACCAAACCAATTATATTAATTCAAGATACTCAGTATCATATGTATAAGTTACATTTGCTTTCATTTCTATGTATATATTTTAGAAATCATACAAGTTCTAAGTGGTTGTTGTGTGAATGTAAATGGAATTTTGATTTTTATCTTAATCGGTTTCATTTAAAATTTTATGTTTTTTGTTACTAAAAATTAAATTACGGTAGATAATGTATTAATTAAAATTATATTTAGTTTATCACATTCACGCTGGATATTAATGTTTTTGTTTTTCATATAAAAGGATGGCTAGAATATATTCATGCAGTCTGTGAGTAATGATGACATGCGTCACAAGCTTCGATTGATCGCCCTTCAACGTAGGACTTTGGCGCTCATTTTTTTTCAGTCATGATACGATTGCCACGCGTCAAAACCCTCTTCTCTTTGTTCTACTTCTCATGTTTCTCTTTTTTTCCGGTGAATATATCGCTACGTATATATCTACACAATACGACGTTATACATGCTTCAATTCTTTCTACAGTATTTCTAACTTTTTCTTTATATTCGTAGTTTCGTATACATATGTTTCGTTCTCTACTTATTTGAAGCAACATTACAATAGTAAATGAAGTACACCCTTTAAGTGTTTAATCTCTTTACTCGGCCCCTTTTATCTTGCTTAAATCAAAAGTCACTTTTGGATACAAAATGTCTATCTTTATTTTGCAACTTGAACGTACTGTAACGATGCATTAAGAAAGTAAAAATCGTTGTAAGTGTGAACCATTGAAATATCGATTTAGGTCCAAATATAGTCTCCCTTTAGCTACTTAAATAATATAGGAACGGAAGTGTAGCAAATACTTGCTGCGCATCTATTTTGAGCGGTAACTATTCTTTTAAACTCTACCCTTATCTACGTTTTCTATTCTTCAATATTTAACGTCCTCCATTTTTTTATTTAATAAAATAATTTACTTGATCGGAATTCGTATTAAATTGAGTGTAGCTTTTTTTCAAATTATTTTTAGTAATATACCTTTAATCGTATTGACGATAAAATTTGTAATTTAATCTTTTTATATGAAAGTTCAATTTTTCAAAGTATAATTTTATGATAGTTAATTTTAATATCTTGCATGAACGTGTTATCGATAAAAACTTACGAAAAAATTAATTGATAACTCAAGGAAATGCAAAATTCTCATTAGAAATTAATAGAAATATAACTATAACATGACAAAGAACAAGAGACATAATTCTGTGCAAAGCTTTTTATTCAATTTAAAAGAGAACTTTCCGTTATGTGAGAGACATACATGAAAATAATATACAATAATGTAGAAATATTGTTGTCAGCTATAGATTATTCGAATTTCTTCAATGGTGATACGTGTTATAAGGGTTCGTTCCGTTCGATAATATGAAAGGAATGTTGGGACATGAATAACGCAGATGTCGGACATTCCAACATGTGTAGAATGGAAAATGTTGTTATAAAACGACGTATCTGATATTTTATTTGAAATAAAAAGATACAAGTTCATTTAGATAATGAAAAACATATATCGATGCAATATACAAAATGTTGCAGATTTTAACGGATAAACTTATTTAACAATAAATATTTAGATCTAACGGATATTACGAAAACATAATTTTTGTTAAATAAAATAACGAGAAAATTTTTATCTAAATACAATTAGAACTAAAATAAAAACTATTTGTTTAATTATATGTTAATACTTTAACTTTTTTGAAAATAATAGTATATATATATGAACAAACCAACTTATTTTAAACGAATCATTTTTTATTGATAAATTTCAAAAAAATTTTCTCTATATTTTTGTTACAAATATAGTTCAATGAAATATCTAATTAATTTTATTATATATATATTCTAATTAATTTATGTGCAATATATTCCAAATCTTTAATATTAATTTTATTAAATATATATTGTTATTTCATCCTTATTTTAATTTTTACAGATTAATATACATTATAAAATGTTCATGATGTGTGTCAAATAATTTCAAAATTCTATTACGTTAACAATGGATATCACAGTAAAAGATATAAGTGGAGGAACCAGATGGGTTTGTCCAAGTGATAGACATTTATCCTTGAGAGCAAAGTGAGTATTATTATAATTTAAATTGTTATGTAGTGACTTTGTTAATACCATAAATACCTATACATATATTTTCATTAGCATTACCAACGTATAATAAGTTATCTACGTATATTACACGCAAATGATAGTAATTATGGTGGTATGATGAAAATAAATAATTACGCATAATCACATTTGTATAATAAGGTAGAAGTCATAATTTTGTCAAAAAGCAGTTACATGTTTTTAGAAATTGCAAAAATAAACTATTTTGAATAAGCCATTTCAACCCTTTTGTTGGTAATTCTAGTGTTAATTAATACAATTTCCATTAATTAATTTCATTTAATTAATACAATTTCAATAATTAGACTCCAAACAGGCTGGTCTGTAAAAGCTGCTTCTTTAGATTCGAAATGGGGTACTTATTCTAATTCCTATTCAGGTGGCACAAATCGATGTGCGCAATCGTTTGTACTTACTGAAGAAGAACAACAAACAATCATACAAGTAAATTTTTAAAGTAATACTGGCATTATTTTCCTATTTCTTTCTTATTTAAATTTTTATTTTAACTTATAAAATAAAAATTTTAATATTTGTATATCATTTAAGATTAACGATGTGACTTAACTTTTTAATTTATTTTAATTTTGAATTCACGATACTTTGAAAGTTCTAAGTTTTTGAAAATAATCAAATATCATACGTATCTATCCTTATTTCGCCATTTCTAATTTTCATACAATATATATAATGAATTTATATTTAATTTCTAATATGTTAGGTCATTCAGAGAGCAGAAGCTTTGAACTTATCAGAACAAGAAAGAATTGGTAGATTAGTAGAAAGATTGGAAAATATGAAACATAATGTCTGTATTGTTACTACAACAAGATTAAACGAAAGGAAAAGATGTAGTAGTAGATGTTTCAATAGTGCGCATTGTGTATGTTCTTGCGCCCTTTGTGGTGAAAAATTTGGAACAGTATTGGGTGCATCAGCGAATCTTTGTAAAGATTGTCGAAAATATATATGTCAGAAATGTGGTATCGAAACAAACGAATTAAACTCAACACTTTCTAATATTTCAACAATGAGGGAAAAGACGCAAGAAAGAACAACTGTACAACGAATCGTTAGACGATCTAGCAGTAATCAAAAACAGTTTCTTTGTCGAATTTGTGCCGAGACTAGAGAAATGTGGAAAAAAAGTGGGGCTTGGTTTCTCAAAGGAATGCCAAAATACATTTTACCGGAGAAAAAGGTATATAAAAAATAGTGAATGAAAGTATGTATATATAAAATATATTAATATATTAATAATTATTTTAAAATTCTAGGAACGAGGATGGTCGCGATCTGTTTATAAGACATCCACTTGGACAATCGGTGGTAATAAATCCCATGAATCTACAGAGTTTCAAGATTCTTCTTCTGATGAAGAAACCACGCGGCGTCTAGCTTTAGCTCGAGGACAATCTAGTTCAATCTCTAGTTTGCAAAAAAATCAAGATAATACCACTAACAAAATCCATTCAACATTGTCGGATTCTGTTCAGTCAACTAGTAGTACGTCTAAATCACCAGGCCAACGATCGAATGGTCTCTTGCCATTAAATAGCCGTGAAGAATATTCAGATCAATTAGACAGATCTACCCTTTCTATAAGCTCTCAATGTAATCGTCTTTCGCCAAGCCCTACAAGTCCTCGTTCACGAATAAATCCAAAAGCTAGTAATGATTCCCAAATTGAACAGCACGTGTCGTTTGAAGGTGAAATTATCGATGAAAAAAACAGGAAACTTGATGATATTAACGAAGCTACTCGTAAATTAGAGTTCAATTCATATGAACAATCAAAAAGCACTCAGGTACAATCTCCCAGGTACGTAAGAATAATAAATAAAAGAATAGAAATTTAGCTGACATTGCTTAATTTTTTGTAGATCAAATTTTACAACAGTTCCAACGACACCAACAATGACAATTACAGCAACAGAACAACTTCCAGACCAGAATCAGATCCACGAAAAACGCATGGATCAAGAAGGAAGGCAATCCTCTTCAGAACAAGAGAATCTCCCATATCTTTGCAGCAACAATCAAGTTAATTTACGACAACAAATGCCAGAGTACGGTTGGTATAAAATTCGATGCCTAACAGAATAAAAATAGTTTAAAGTTGAATTGATTAAAATAAAAATCTATAAAATATCATATATCTGTTAAAATTTTTCAAGAACTAAAAAATTTTAAGAATTTTTCTAAAAATTACATTAGAATTTCGAATGTAATATAAGAATATTTGATTTTCCGAAATTTCACAGATTTCAGAATTTTTTTTTTAAGAGAAGCGAATGATAATTCCAAGCTTCGAGATATTATCAAATTTTTGGCATTATTCGGGTATAAAAACTGAAACACAAATGTAACATAAATATTTCCGACTTTACTAGTTTAAAATTCGAAATTGATGTATTATGACTCAAATTTCATATACTTTTACCGATAAAAAAATATATTGAATAAAATTAAATATTGTGTATATTAATAAAATTCAAATAATCATGTTATACTTCTCAAAGCAGGAAAGAGACAAAATTATGGAACTCTCGAAGTATCCTTGCGATACGATCCAGTAACTCAATGTCTCCAGTGCAAAGTGGAACGAGCACGAGGTTTACAACCAATGGATATCCATGGTCTCGCTGATCCATTTTGCAAACTCAACATATTACCTGTAGATATAGTTACGACTACGAAACGACTTCAAACAAAGACAGTCCACAAGACACGAGACCCGGAATTCAACGAGACACTAAATTTCTACGGTACAACAGAAACCGATGTATGAAAAGTACAATTTCTTTAAAGAAGAAAATAATGATTCTATGAAATATCATTGAATTAATTGAAAAAAGAAAATTTTTTTTGCAACAGATACGGAATGGCAAGGCATTGCACGTATTAATTCTACAAGACGATTCAGCAGGCCAAGAATTTTTAGGAGAAGCGAAATTTCCTTTGCATGAATTACAACCGCATCAAACAAAACATTATAATGTTCCACTGCAGAATCACTATCCAGTATGTATAATTAAAACTTTAATTATTTTATTTCTCTTTACTGCTAGATATTACGTAATCATAATTTCAAACGATCGTACATACCATATTCGGTTTTCTGTATAAAGAGCTATTTTAATATAAAGGACGATATTTGATTTTTGACACATGAAAAAAGTAGTTATAAATTCACAGTTAAAAAATTCAGCCTTTACGTGTCAAAAGTTTTTGCACGTATCTTGAACATTTTAGCTAATTATAAGAAATTTCTGAAAATATAATAGCATAAATTAAAATTCTCATTAAACGAAATTAATTCATCTTGTATATAATATAGATAAGTTTCGTTACCATCTTAATTAGAAGTAACATATATTTAGCAATATATCAACCTAGAAAAATAAAAAAATTAATTTTATCATGAATTTATTAACTTTTTTAAGTCTTAAGTAAATAACTTTAACAGAATTCAATTTCGATACAAATATTAATTTATTCAAGTTGTACGCAGAAACGCAAATCAATTGACCTAATAATAGTAATAATATTAATATATTAATCTAATAATAATAAAAGAAAATAATGTCTAAAAAGACTATTGCTAATTTAAAAAATATTACTTCGAATGAAACAATTATAAAATACATAACATTATGTTCTTTAAACTTCTATAATATTAACAATATTATGAATTATGCTTTAATATGACAAAAAAAAATGCAAAAATTCAAAAATTGAATTTTTTAAACTTTCAAATATGAATACTCTCATAATTTTATGCCGTTAAATTTGTATGCATGTTGTTAATTAATTTTTTTTATATATTTGTATATTAACATTTTATATATCCATCGTACAGGAATTTTATAGATTTTTAACTACTGATCCTTATTAATATAATCATTTTTCGGGTTTTAAATTTTTCGCGACGGCCGACTTTACTTACATTATTGCAGACACTAAGATATAAGAGCTCGACGTTGGCATAGGTGGATAACGAAGAAGCAGCTTGGGGCGTGTTTTCCAGTGGACGAGGACAGATTCAAGTGAGTCTAAGTTACTGTACACGACGGCGAGCATTGATGGTCACAATTCATCAAGCTACAAATCTTCTTCCTATGGATAGTAATGGATTTTCTGATCCATTTGTCAAGTTGTGCCTTATAGAAAACATAACAAACAATCATCGACAACGTGTCTTCGATTATTCAATCGCACGTATTACCGCTAAGAAACTAGTATCGAAAAAAATCACAGGCCGAAGTTCACAAAGTACAACAATCAAATGGAAGACTTTAAATCCAGAATGGAACGAGGAGTTCGCATTTGCTATTCGATTAACAGACCTTATGAAATTCACATTATATCTTACAGTATGGGACAAAGATTTTGGCAAGAGTAACGACTATCTTGGTAAAGAATTAATTTGTTTAGATTTAATATATATATTACTATAACTTATATTGAAAAATGGGAATTCATATACGTTCATTATAGCAATATGTTTATTACTTTTATTTAGGTGGACTTGAATTAAGTTCCAATAGCAAAGGAGCACGATTGCAACACTGGATAGACGTAATCAAATTTCCAGATCATCGCCATCGAGCTTGGCATAATTTAATCGATACCATTTTGCCTACAGAATAATTTATATTTTTACTTTTGTTAGCATGTTGTTCAAAATGTTTTAATAAGGTCTATATAGTCAACATATATAATAATCTGCAAAATATAATTTATTTACACACGATCTCTACTATTGCTCAAAATGTACTATTCAAGAATTAAAATTAACAAAAAAATCAAAACATAGTATATATGAAAAATGCTATTATTTTACATCAATGAGATTTAATTATGCACAGTGTTTCAAAATTTTTAATCATGTAAAGAAATGGCAAGAGATAACAAAAGAAATATTTCTTTTATTTAATAAACTTATATCTGACCCCACTTAATTTTATAAGAATAAAACTTTAGAAATAGAATTAACTATTTCTATTAGTGTCGGAAAAATTATGTTTAAGAAATTGTATATTGCTTTATTTTTGAAGTTTTGTTACTAAAAAATAAAGCAAAATCATACATATGTCTATTACAAAAGATGTGTTTCTTTAATATTGTGCTGCTATTTTGTGCTTAATTGATCTGTTATCCTGAAATATCCAGTATATTATACATTAATTAATAAAATTAATTTTAATTAGTTCATGTATAATGTGTATCCTATAAAAGAAACGATTGGATTTATAATTAATATGAAATTAAGTCATTCGATTTAATACAATTTCTCCAAATTATTGAAGAGTTTAACATGTATTTAATCATTTTCATTTCCACTAGAATCTTCTTCGGCTTCTTCCAACCATTTAATAAACGGTTTTATTGCATTTCTTACTTTCTCCTCTTGAGAGTTATGTGAATTTATATCTTTATCATTTGATTCATACCATTCTAAAATTTTGTCTTCTGATAAAATATCTTTGTCATAAAGCATATGCAACAAGTGTTGTAAAAATGGTAATAATTCTTGAGTTGTACTTGCAACCTCTTCTATTGCGTGTAAACAATCATCTTGTGCATCATCTGTTTTAACGTAATTCAAGATAATTGGATAAAAATATATTACCATAATTTTTAAATTTGTTTGGTAATTTTTATTAGTTATATTGTCTTTATTTTCTGAAAGATAATGAAAAGGTAAACTTAATATGGCTTTAATAACATTATACGTTACTTCGCTCATAGTAATATTGTACGCATATCTTGATGAGTTTATTTCCAAAATTAAGTTTTCACAACTAAGTTTATCTTGGAAACCTCTTAGTAAGCTGTCAATAACTTCAGATAAGAACATATTTGTATCATCTGGAATTGGTGAATTACACTCAGAATTTTCATCAATACTTGTTGTATCTGTAGAATAATCATCGTATTCTACCATATCACTATCCTTAAAGAACTGAAAATCATTATCTGTATCAATTTCTGATATTTTTTTCACAGAAATTTCGTTATCCTTTGATTCCATAATAGAATCAGTATATTCCATTGGAGTGTCAATAATTACTCCAGGACATAATATACATCCATTTATTTTTGTGTTTTGTTTAATAAGACAATTTGAAAATACTATACTATTTGTAATGATACAATTATCTTCAATTTTACTATTTGATAAAATATAAGAGTTCTTAATTGTTACATTAGAACCTATCACACAGTAACATCCAATAACTGATCTCGTGGCAGAAGTATCATTTCCAAGAATACTGTTTTGGCATAGTATGCTATCTTTCTCTAACATACAACCTTTAGCAAGGGTAGCACTCCTATGTTTATATATATTTCTTGGCATATAAATAAAATCTTTTAAGAATGGAATAGCATTTGGTGTAAGTGGAAAACTATGTCTATTCAAAATATCTCTATTAAGAGTGTGATAAGCATTCCATGATACAATTGGCAAACTATAATCTTCAGAATCTAATTGCTGCCAGTAGATTCGAGAATTTAAAATTTCTTCATTCATTAACACTCCTCGAATAAAATCTTCCATTGTCTGTTAAAAACATATAAAAATTGTTATTTTATATATTAATTATTTTTTATCTTTTCGTGCATTTTTTTTGAGGTTTATTTATTTATTAATCATTAAAAATGTATTAAATTAATTATTTATAAATTAAAAGAAAGTAAAAAGTGTTAACAAATATTTAACATAATATTATAAGAAATACAATTTTAAATAAAGTCTTTAAAAAAATTGATAAATATCTATAACATATTCAATAATTGCTTTAATTATTTCAATATTATAATAATCTTACCTGAAAATCAAAGTTATCTGAGAATAATGGAAGCACAGAAGGAGAACATAGATAAACATGACTATCCAAAAAACAAGTGTTAATTTCAATTTCACTGTGATCCAAAAACCAATTCAAATCCAATTTTACTTTCTTTTCATCATTCCTTAATTTATCGTAATGTAGAATCTTTTTACTGTTTTTATCAGAAACTACTAAACATGCTTGTTGCTTTAAAAAAGGTTCATTAATAGAACCAAAATTTCTTAGCACCATAGTCATTGTTGTACCTTTATCTTCATTTAATTTTGCACAATGATTTGATAAAAGATTTGTAAGATTAGCATTAATAAATGCATCTCCTCTTATAAGTATAAAATTATTACGAATTGAACCTTTTGTATCAATATCTCTAAGAGCATCACCAAGTGAAGTGCAATTATCAGACACAATTAAAGAAACTGATATTTTTAACCATTTCCTTTGTTTGACATATGTTTTTATTAAATCTACATGATTACTACAATAAAGAAACAATTCTTGTACTCTAGATTTAATAAGGGTTTCCACTAAATAATCTAAAAGTGGAACATCTATTATTGGCATTAATATTCTTGGAAATATATTTTGTACTGGTGTCAAATTTGTTACAAAATCGTCTGCAAGAACGACAGCTTGTATAATTTTTTTCTTTTGCATTTTTGTGTTCATACTGCTATCTAATACAATTCTCCAAGTAATAAATACTAGAATATAGGTTATAAAATATTACTATAAAGTACGATTTACTATGAACTTCCCCGACTTTTATATCCAACTATTTTATATCGTTTCAAACACAAAACAAAATCTCTTTTTAATATAATAGTACATTACATAACACGAGTATTTCTTCGTTTTCCTTTTATTATAACAATAGTCCAAAACATAGACCAGATACAAAATAAGTACTTAGATGCAACACCTAATCAATTTTTGTGTCACATGATTCAATACTGTCACTTTCAATGTTATCATCCTAATATAAAATGAGATTACAATACAAACAATAGTGATAATTAAAATTAATTATAATTTTATAATAATAGAATAAGCAAGGTATAACAATCATTTTGAACATTCGATTAATTATTCATCATAAAAAATTACGATTTGTATATTTTTCATTGAATTTTTATGGAACAATTGCAAATGAATGGCCAAGGTTCTTTCAATGACAATAAGTCTGGACAATCATTAAAATGTTTGAGGACATATATGAAACATATAAATCAATTCGTATACGATAATTATTTAGGTAAAATAATATATTTAAAACTTTAAAAAAATATCATTATATTTCTTGAACTTTGATCTCCAAAATATTAATATTTTATAATATATTAAGAATTAGTTGTAAATGGAATTTTATAAAATTTATTTTATTTAAATTATAGCTCTTATTTGTTGATGCATAAAATGTATTTTATTATGTTCATTTTGGTGCAAATTTTCAAATTAGTTTTATATAGAAACTTTACATAAAATTAATATAAAACAGTGTAATAATATCTATTTCGTGCTTAACAAATATTTTTAATTTTATGTAACTCTTACCTTAGTATAGTCTTCCAAAAATTATTCTTTGGAAGGGTACACTAATTACTAATAAGGAGAGTGCAAGTACTTTCGGTCATCGATTTAGTTCACACTTTGCAGATTTGTAGATTTTGTCATGCAATTCAAGAATATATATCATTATAGTAGCAACTATGTAATAGTTTTTAAAATATTTGCAATTAAAGTTGCATTGCACAGATAAGTAACTACTTATTACCTTAATTTCTCTAATGCAGTCATGGTCTAACGGCGACAGTGGAGAATTCCCAAGATCAAGGATGGGGTTCGATTCCCGTCCATAGTTTAATTGATTTTTTCTCCAATTCATTATTCACTTCGAATTCATTTTTCGCCTATGAAAACATTGTAAATAAAATTTCTTAATAAAAAAACTTATTTTTTACGCTTTTTCAAGCTAGAATATATTTATTAAATAATAAGCATATTAAGCAAGAAAAACAATTCTACAGCAATCTTATTTACTATTAACTAAATATTAAATTACACATCCTATAAGAATGTTGCCTATAATTCCAACTTTGCTGTGCAGCTATAAATTTTCATGAATTAATTACAAAAACTTGGCAATTTATTAATTTTCTACTGTGGAATTGATTTCTAGTATCCAGTTCGAATACAAATTTTACCGCCTGCGATCAGCGCCACCTATGATTTTGGAACAGTTTCTCAAATAGTTTACTAACTCTGATTACGTGCACCTAATATATTTTAATTTATTTTAATAAATAAAATCATAAAGTTTTCTACATTCTTTAATAAATTCAGCCGAGACAGCGGTTTTAATTAGACAAACAGCATTCATTTCTTTACCTAGCAGACGATAAATATGCAAAGGTACGCCTTTACAACGCAATTATAAAATTTCATAAATTAAACGCAGAAATTGAGCGATTTGTTAATTTTTCTCCAAGTGAACAGGAGAGTGCATGGGAAATGAGAAAAAATTACAAACAAACGCCGGAAGCATTGTTGTGACCATGCAGGTGTGCCTGCATCACGAAAAGAATGTAAGTATTTGTATTAACATAACCTTTAGTTATAATTAAATAGTGTAAGTTAGAAAAGATAATATTCTGTTGAAATAAACAGGCACGTGCAACAATAGAAAAATATTGGACTCATGGAATATCATCAGCGTAGATGCCAAGAATTATACTTTATAGCGAGAAAAAATTGAAGCAGCAATATAAATATGTAAAGTATGATACGTCTATTGGATTCCTAGTGCGGTAGCCATATGACATACAAGATAGAAATCTTTGATGGTCAAATAAAGATTCAGAAAATGACGCTGGTTTAGGCAGACAAAAAGGAATAGAATTAATTTAAGTAATGGCCTCTTATAACAAAAAGATATGGAGAATAGAGTGAGATTGAAAGGTATGTTGTATTCCTAATCTAAATAAATATTGATATGAGTAGTCAAAGTTAATGTTCATCGCTAATGTGTTAAATTCGAATAAAAGAAGTGACAAAAGGAAACGCATGTTATGCAGAATCAAGAAGCAAAAAAGATGCAGCATATGTATCAACAGAGAAAAATGTGTGGCATCGACATAGAAATATGAGGATCGTTGAACACATGGAGAATGAACCATTCATAATAGTTATGAAAGGTAAAGTTAAATTGAACATAGAGTGTAAATGTTGCATTAAGGCAAAAATGTATTGTAATATCTATGGGAACTTGGAAAATAGAAAAGCAGCAATTATAATGGTGCTGTGGCACATCATGGACTTCATTGGGCCAATAAAGCCAATGCCAAAAGGATGTAAAAGGTATGATTATTCGAGAAAAGAACCATTTGGTTGACTGATTTATAAATAACTAAAGATTTAATATGAAATAAGAAACTCCAAAGGCTTGTAGAAATTTCATACAGTTATGTGTGGAAGGTTATTACCATGACCCTATATTTCATACACAAGGTGGTGATCCCACAGGTACAGGAGAAGGTGGTAAAATATATGGAGAACCATTTAAAGTGAGACCATATTTAAAAATAAAATGAATTCTTTTCTTATTCAAAAATAGTTATTGGATATATGTGTTTTAGGACGAATTTTATACAAGTTTACGTTTTTGTCGACGAGACTTAATTGCTGGGACTAATGCTGGAAAGATGACAATGATTCCCAATACTTTTTTATTCTTAGTTCTACACTAGATTTGCAGAATAAACATACAATCTTTGGTAGTGTTACTGGTGAATCTACATATAGTATGATTAATCTCGAAGGAGCACATGTAGATGAGGCAAATTTAATGTTTGCAAGAATATATATCAAGCATTGATATAAATATAATATTTCCTCTGTTTTGTAGAATGATAAAGCACTTTATCCTCCAAGATTGATAAAACCTATAATATTGAACAATCCATTTTCTGATATTATACCAAGAATAATAGTACAGGAATGTGAAGAAGTAAAAGACAGTTCAGAAACTCATACAGCAGGAGTAAAGTACAAATCATATATGTTTGCAGAATTTAGCCCTGGTAGAATTATTCTTTGTTATGAAATATTTTGTTACAGACATTTCAATCTTCTATCATTTGGTGAAAAAGCAGAGAAAGATGTAGAAGAATCTGTGATATTAAATAAAAAGTTTAGTGGTAAGGGCAAATCAAGTCATGATCATTCAACTGTTCCAAAATTAAGTTCACAACCAGCTGTTGAACCACCTGGACTTGCAAATAAAAGAAGGAAGGAAGGCCGCAGTAGCGATTGGGAAAATGTCGAAGAAGTAAAAACTCAAGAGGAATTAGAATTTGTAAAGAAAGAGAAAGAGTTAGTTTATTATTTGCATTATAACTATGTTATAGAAAGTAGGAATTTTTATTGACTGTCTCTTATATTTATATTTTCAGAGCAATTAAGAAAAGGATTAAAGATACATTGAGAGATACAAAAAAGGAACCGAAGAAAGTACAAACTTATAAAATAGATGATTTTGAAGATGATAACGGTATAAAGGAAAATAAATAGGGAATAAAAACCTCCTTATGAGGTTTAGCAGAAGAGCAAGCCGAGGAGATGCACAATAAGAGATATCAAGAATTATTAGGATAACTCATGTATTCGAATAGAATCATTTGTCATATGTCTATGAATATTGTACGTATATATATGGTCATTATAATGATAATTATTACGTGATATGTATTACGAAACATCTTCTCAGATTCTAATGTCTATATGTCATTATTTATTATGTCGTGTACAATTAACATGTATATGTAAAACTTTCAAAATGAATAAAAGGTACTTTAACATATAACCATGGCAGTTTCATTTTCTTTTTACCACGAACAAAAGCACGCATCTTCATCTGTGACTGCATGTTCAACGGGCTATTAAGAGAGGAAAAAAAACGAAGAAAAATGTGTTATACTTATTTATGTCCTTTTATTGTTTTATTTCTCCCGCCCAGCGGGTCACGTGGTTTTTCCTTCGGCAGTTTCGATCAGCGCCATCTATTATTTGGCTCCAAATGCTCCGAAAGTGATAGGAATATAGAATTGGCAAGGAGGTCGACGAACTGATGGTCACGTGGTAGACGAAGACAGAGTGGGGATAGAAAAGGACAGAATGGCTCCGGCAGTGAAGAATTATTAATTACTCAATTTCCGTAAACAATTTGTGAACTTTCATAATTTCATTACGGAGCTGGAATTTCAGGCTACATTCCTATATAACTTTCGTAAATAATTTAGCTCGAAATTGTAAGTTATTAATTTCTGTTTTATGGCGTCTATGATTTCGTAACGGCGACCATCACGACCTTCCGTGAAAATATTTATTACTAAACGAAACCAGAAGCAAAATGTGATCAAAAGTTATATGAGAAGATTCGCAAGGACATTGGCTTTCTAACGAGTGCATAAAGCTTCATAAATTAATTGCTTTTAGGATAGTAATTAATGAAAAACCATTGGCGACTTCGACAACAATTCAAACACTGCGTAGAATAATAATTAATAATTAATTATTTAGGGATAAATTTATTTCGAAAAATATATTGGAAAGTTCTTGAACGATCTGGCTTTACGATGCAATTATAAAAGTTCGTAAATTAATCACCAATATTCAGTAATTAGTGAATTTTCCACTGCCGATCTCGTTGCGGGACTCGAGCTTCGAGTCTAACCTCACAGATGGCTCTGATGTTAGTCGAATTGATTACTAACTCTGGTTATGTGCTCCGAACATATTTTAATATATTTTAATAAATGAAATTATGAAGTTTTCTATTCTATATTCTTTAAAAAATTCAGCCCCAACAGCGATTTTAATTAGGCAGTGAGCATTCATTTCTTTATCTGGAAGACGACAAATATGCAAAGGTACGCCTTCACGTCACGTAACGCAAGTATAAAATTTCATGAGTTAATCACAGAAATTGCGTGATTTGTTAATTTTTCTTCAAGTGAACAGGAGAGTGCATAGGAAATGAGAAAAAATTGCAAACAGACGCCGGAAGCATTGTTGTGTCCATACAGTTGTGCCTGCATTACGAAAAACATGTAAGTATTTATATTAACATAACCTTTAGTTGTGATCGAATAGCGTAAGTTATGAACCATTGTTTTTCCACCTTTCATTAGTGATAGCAGAGCTTGAGAAAAGATTGAATAGCGTAAGTTATGAACCATTGTTTTTCCACCTTTCATTAGTGATAGCAGAGCTTGAGAAAAGACAATATTCTGTTGAAATAAATAGACACGTGCAACAATAGAAAAATGTTGTACTCATGGAATATCATAAGCGTATGTGATAAGAGTTATATTTTATAGTGAGAAAAAATTGATGCAGCAATGCAAATATGTAAAGTACGAAATATCTATTTGATTCTAGGTGGAGTAGCCATATGACATACAAGATAGAAATCTTTGACGGTCAAATAAAGATTCAGAAAATGAAGATGGTTTAGGCAGACAAAAAGGAATAGAATTAATTTAGGTAATGGTCTCTTATAACAACAAGATATGAAGAATACAGTGAGATTGAAAGGTATGTTGTATTTCTTGTTGTAAATAAATATTAATATCACTGGTCAAAGTCAATGATCATCGCTAATTTGTTAAATTCGAATAAAAGAAGTGACAAGAGGAAACGCATGTTATGCAGAATCAAGAAGCAGAAAAGATGCAGCATATGTATCAGCAGAGAAAAATGTGTGGCATCGACATAGAAATATGAGGATCGTTGAACACATGGAGAATGAACAATTGATAATAGTTATGAAAGGTAAAGTTAAATTGAACATAGAGTGTAAATGTTGCATTAAGGCAAAAATGTATAGTAATATCTATAGGGATTGGAAACTATAAAAAAAGCAATTATAATAGTGCTGTGGCACATCATGGACATGATTGGGTCAATAAGGCTAACGTCGCAAGGAGGTAAAGGGTACGTCTTACTTGCTGCTAATTATTCGAGAAAAGAACCATTTGATTGACTGATTTATAAATGACTAAAGATTTAATATGAACTATTATTGATGCAGGATTTTTTTTATTATAGGAGATTTACAAACACGAGTAATATTTATATGCAGGACCCAGCCACTAAGGGTAAAGTAATAAGTATCGTTTATTAATATTTCAATTGATTGTATATCTGTTTTTAAACATTTGACCGATATACAATATTTACTTTCCAAATTTCTATATTGATATATTAAATAATTTCAAATTTGAATTACAACAATAAATAATAAATTTTAATAAGTTTGATTTTAAAAGTATTTTACATTAATCAAAGTAATACATTTGTTATAACTAGGTTGTAATGAAAACAACTGTTGGTGATATTGGGTCAGAATTATCCGCAAAAGAAACTCCAAAGGCATGTAGAAATTTCATACAATTATATATGGAAGGTTATTGGGATGACACTATATTTCATGCACTGGGTGGCGATTCCACAGGTACAGGAGAAGGTGGTAAAATATATGGAGAACCATTTCAAGTGAGACTATATTTGAAAATAAAATGAATTTCTCTTTTATTCAAAAATAATTATAATCTATATGTGTTTTAGGACGAGTTTTATACAAGATTACGTTTTTGTCGACGAGATTTAATTGCTGTGGCTAATGCTGGAAAAAATGACAATGGTTCCCAATTCCTCTTTACTCTTAGTTTTACACCAGATTTGCAGAATAAACATACAATCTTTGTTAAAGTTACAGAATATACCATATATAACATGCTTAAACTTGAAGAAGTACTTGTAAATGGGGTAAATTTAATGTTTACAAGAAAATATATCAAGAATTGATATAAATATGATATTTCCTATCTTTTCTAGAATGATCTACCGCTTTGACCTCCAAGATTGACGAAAACTATACTATTGAGCAATCCATTGTCTGATATTATACCAAGAATAATAGTACAGGAAAGTGAAGAAGTAAAGGACAGTTCAAAAGCTAAAACAGCAGCAGTATAGTTAAAAATTATATATGCCTGCAGAATTTAGCCTTGATAGTATTATTCTTTCAGAAATTTCAATCTTTTATCATTTGGTGAAGAAGCAGAGGAAGATGAAAAAAAATCTGCGATATTAAATAAGAAGTTTAGTGGTAAGGGTAAAACAGCTTATGATCATTTAACTGATTCAAAATTAAGCTCAGAACCAGCAGTTGTACTACCTGGACTTGCAAATAAAAAAAGGAAGGAAGTCTGTAGTAATGATTGGGAAAGTGACGACGATGTAGAAACTCGAGAAGAATCATATGTTATAAACAAAAAGGAAGATAAGTTATAAACAAAGAGAAGAAACTTCTAATACTCTTAATAATTTTATAATAATGTATTTAATTACTCTATATTATTTTTGATATGTATGTACTGTCGTTAATTACTATCAGTGACCCCGTATGATCCTGATTAATTAACATATAAGAAGTGATAAGGATAGTTTAACACAGCGATGCGTGTAAGAGAATTCTTCGATTTGGAAATTTTGTAATTGGTAATATTAATTTTGCATAAATTATTGAATTTATTGTTAATCACTAATTGATATTGTTAATACCAAATTACCTGAGTCATAAATTTAAAATAAAAGTAGAGAAAGTCAAGGAAATATCGACTATTATAGAGAAAAAGTAATTATTAAGGAAACCGACAAAATTCGAAAATCCTCTAACGATTTCGGCAATCAGTTGGGGGTCATATATAAAGGCCACCTCGCGACTTCGAGGTCTGGACTAGGCGCTTCCGAGACTTCACCAGCGGGACCTTGGCGACCTTCCCGAGGATCAGAGGTGAGCAGCTAGATTTGGCAGGTGCGCTTTGGTGAGTCAATTTTAATACCGTCTTTTTTTTCCGGTTTTATTTTCTGGTTTCTATTCAAATATTTCGTTGTTGTTTTTAATATCTCTCATCGTTCCCCTTACTAATCAGTTCTTTTCCAGGACTAATCTACATATTTCCTTTATAGGTTTATTATCTGAATTTGTTGGTTTGAACTCGAGTTCATTTGTCGTTTTGACTTTTTGCTATTCTAAGACTTCGAAGATGGGTTCGGAGGAGTGGTTGGTGGTGGCATTAGGGTGGGGTGGTGGTGAGGTGGAGGTGGACGGTCATTGTCCACTCCACCTATACATCACCCCCCATCCTTGTTTTCTTTCATAAACTTCTTCCTTTTATTTCCGGATTCTTTCATCGTTGGTTTGTCATCTCCATTTCGGTTTCATTTCATCGATAGGTTGTTTCTGTCACATCGATGGGTTGTTTCTGTTTCATCGATGGATTGTTTCTGTCCCATCGATGGATTGTTTCTGTCTCATCGATGGATTGATCCTTCCATTTGGTTAACCTTTATTATTCTATTCGTCTCGCTTCTATTTTCTTTCCTCCTTCCTATTTCTTTTTTCTGGTTTATATTTATACTAATATATTTTGTTTTCAGGTTTTCAGGTTTTCAGGTTTCTTCTCCAGATTTAATCTGGAGGACATCGTGGGATGCGAGCGCTT